TTATAGTTATTATTAAAATTTTTTATTTTTTTAATGTCGAAATATTGTATTTTTCGCAATTTCTAAGTAAATACATAAAGGAAGTCACCGAATCTTTAATTTATTGGAAAGTCAAAAAAGCGTGAGTAAATTAAGAGAGGCTTTAATTAATCCGATAAATCTAATTTTGCAGGCCCTGGACCGATGAATTGATGAACCCGTTAGGTTACCGGTAAGAGGAGAAAATGAAAGAGAAAATTTGCAGAATCCAAAGTCCAAACAGTTTCTAGAAACATTCACAAGGAGATCGTTTCCTTTTTCACCGACGACCAAAACGACGGCCAATTATGACCGTCGTTCTGGCCACCGACTTCTCAGTCCGATCATAACACACAAGGCTCCCCTCAACACCAACCGAAAAAATTCAAGCATGAAACATTCAAAACCCAGAAATAAAATAAACTGTATGTGTGCCAACGATATCGATTGTAGAGGAACATAATGATAATTTAAGTGTTTCTGATTAATTTTGCTTTCTTTTTACCTGGGCTGTAAAGGGGACTCGTTGTGGTGAGTGTAAGCCACATGAACATCGTCCCCGATCCGTACAGAAACGGATGAGGGTTTGGTGTCAAGGAAGCGTTTCACGAGCGCCGCCGACGTGATCTTCGGAGACGGCGTCCGGCATCCTGCTGCCACCAGCTCTTCGGGCGGAGACATGATCGAGCCGCTGAACACTCCCAACATTTTCTCTCACAGGAGAAAAAGATTAAAAAGCCCTATTAGCAGCAGATTATCTTGTTCTGCTGGCTTTTATTATAAAGTTCAGAGCTGGGACACGGGATAGGAAAGCGAAGGAGGAGTGCTAGTATTTATAGGGGAAAGAAGACGGGGGCATTTTGGTCAATTCGTGGGTTTAGATTTTTTTTATTTGTCTAAAACAAAGTAAATATATTTTTTATCATAAATTTATATTGTAATAATAAAATTTATTTTTTAATTTATTAATTATTTAATTAAATTTATTTAATATTTAAATTAAAATTAATTTTTATATTATTTTTAATATATTTATATAAAAAATATATTTAACACCTAATGCACAAGTTAAAAATTTCTTTTTGAAAATTGTGTTTAATTAATTGGAGATTAATTTAATAATTAATAGGTTGATAAATCCATAAAAGAAAAAAAGGTTGATAAAGGACGCAGGTGACAGATGTGTGTAGGACCCACAGGGCGATGAATCTTGAGCGTTACATTGACGTGATGGTGTAATGTAGGGTCCACACCGAACATTGAAAAAATTTTAACTTCAATTTTAAAATTGAAAAATACGTATATCTTACAAAAGAAAAACATATAACCATTAAATCATAAAGTTCAAGTGCTTTGGTAAAAGAGTTAAGTAGATTAGTAAAAGGGGGAAACTTATTCCTTTATTATATAGGCTGAACTTAATACAGTAAGAGGGGGAAAGAAAGGTAACATTTACATGGCAGTCACCCTTCCTCCTCCTTCATCTTCTTCTCTCTCCTTTTTTTTCCTTTTTTTGAAAAGGCAAATATCAACAATCAACTAATACTCAGTCAGCCGCCACTGAATCACTGTTTCTGAATGGAGATTCGTGTTGTCACTTCATTGAGCCCACTTTAGAACATATTCCTTCGTTCTCTTAGAAGCAAAAGAGAAAAGAAATTCTCTTTTTCTTTCTTTAAGTACTTTAGAAAAGTTAGTAGTATTCTTTTTAAGTTAAATATTAAATTTGGTCTCTCAACCTTAGTGAATTACACATTTTTTGTTTTTTAATAATTTTTTGTACTTTTTTGATCCCTCAACTATACAAAATACACTCCGTTAGTCATTCTGTTAATTTCGATCGTTAACTTGCTTATGTGGTATTTTTTTATAATTTTTTTGATGTCGTGGCAAAAACAAATTGAAAACATGTTAGACGTGGAATTTTTTTAATGCCAACTCAATTATTACTATTTATATTTTTAAAAAATAAAATAAAATAATTCGTTCATCTTCTTCCTTTTTCTTTTTCTT